CACTCAACCACTGAGCAACATCCCCAGCCACACACACACACACACACACATATAGACATACACATACACACACACACACACATATATATTTTTTTAATTTAGAGACTGGGTCTCACTGAGTTATTTAGGGCCCCGCTAAGTTGCTGAGGCTGGCTTTGAATTCATGATCCTCCCACCTCAGCCTCCTAAACTGCTGGGATTACAGGTATGCACCACTGTGCCTGGCTCAAATCCTTTTTTTAATAATTGTTTTCATGCTGAGACAAGATCTTGCTAAGTTACCCAGGCTGTCCTCAAACTTGCAATCCTCCTGCCTCGGTCACTGCAGTCACTGGATCAGAGACATGGGCCACTGAGTCCAGCAGCATTTGTTACTACTTGTCTTATTGATAACAGTTATTCTATCTGGGCGAGATGTTACCTCACTGTAGTTTTGGTTTGCCTTTCCTTTATGATTAGTGATTTTGAGCAGTTTACCTCTCTTTTGAGAATTTTTTATTCAAAAATTTGCCCTATTTAAAAAATTGGATTATTTAGGGTCTTTTGCTATTGAATTGTTTGAGTTCATATTATTCTGAGTAGTAACTCCTTGCCAGATGAATAGTTTGCAAATATTTTCTCCCATTCTGTAGAGAACTAGGTATTACTGTTGTTTCCTTTGCTGTGAAGGGTTTCTTAATTTGATAGTAATCTCATTGCTCTTGATGCCTGTGTTTTGGGGGTTCTTTTTTTTTAAAAAAAAAAATGTATTTTTTTCTTGTAGTTAGACACAATACCTTTATTTTATTAATTTTTATGTGGTGCTAAGGATGGAACCCAGGGTCTCACACATGCTAGGCGAGTGCTCTACCACTGAGCCACAACCCCATCGCTATTTTTAGGTTCTTATCCCCCCCCCAAAAAAAATTGCCTATAACAATGTTTTAAATTGTCTATTTTCTTATGCTAGTTTTAGTTCTTACTTGTTTAGGTCCTTGATCCATTTTGAGTTGATCTTGTGTGCTGTGTGTGCTACTAGGGATGCCACACAGGGCCTTATGCATGCAAGGCAAATGCTTTAGCACTGAGCTACACACTCCTAGCCTTTTAATTATTTTGAGACAGTCTCTCTAAATTGCCTAGATTGGCCTCAATCTTGTGATCCAACACAACTGACATGAGTTGATATGTTGTATATGGTGAGAGGTAAGAGTCTAGTTTCATTCTTCTGCACATATATTTTTTTTATTTTTTTTTCTTCTGTTGGTACTAGATTTTTGAATCTAGAGGTGCTTTATCACTGAACCATATCCTTAATCTTTTTTATTTGTTATTTTGAATAGGGTCTCACTAAGTAGTTGAAGCAGTCCTTGAACTTACAATCTTCCTACTTCTGCCTTCCAAATCTCGGGGATCACAGGTGAGTGCCACTGCTCCTAGCTTGTATATCTAGTTTTCCAAATACCATTTATTGAACAGGCTATCCTTTCTTCACTGTATGTTCTTGGCACTGCAATATGCAATTCACTGGAGAGACAAACTGCTCAGGTGAAGATGATTACAGCAACACAGTAATTTAAGCAGATATTCATAATAGTTAAACTCACTGCAATAGTATCAAGTAGCTATGAAATTATTAAAGTAGTACCGTATATGCTATAGTTAACTTTATGCTTTTTATGATTTAATACTGCATTTTTATGTTTGTTTATATTTCTCTCAATAGTAAAGGCAGCCTTGTACATTTTTTCAGTATCTTTGATCAGTTTTAACTTTTCAAAATAGATTGTGTATATTTTATGGTGATAAATGATAAAATAGACTTTTATATACATGTATTTTATGCATTCATGCTACACCTGATTTAATTTTTTCAATATTTTTAGGCTACATGATTTGTCTTTTAAGTTTTTATCAAACTGTTGTAAATCTAAAAAAAAAAATTTGTGTATATGTGTATAAATGGACCCAGATAGTTCAAAACTATGTTGATCAAGGGCCAACTGTACAGTGAACAGAACCTTGGAGAAACATGAGACACAACTGAGTATACCAATATAAAAATAATGAGAATTTAAGAAGAAACAGGAATAGAAAAAAATATCCAAATAAAGAATGGCTAAATACTTTAAAAATTTGATAAAAACACTAATCTACATATCAAAAAAGTTCAAGAATTTCCAAGGAGAATAAAGGCAAATACCCAAAATCATCACAGTAACCAGTGAAAGACACAAACCTTGAGAATAGAAAGAAAAAAATAATTTGTCAAAAAAGAAATCAAATAAGAGTAACAGATAACTTATGAGCAGAAACTGTGGAAGCCAGAGGCAGTGGGATGGCATATTTAAACTACTGAAACAAAAAGCTATCAACCCTGAATCTTCTTTTCCTCCAGTAGTGGGGATTAAACACAGGGCTCTTACTAAATTACAGAATCTAGCCTCAAACTTGAGATCCTCCTGAGTTGCTGGAATTACAGATATGCATTACCATGACTGACTGGGAATCTTTTATGAATCAAAACTCTTTCAAAAGTGAAACCAAAAAGATATCCCAAAATGTCTAAACAAAAGCTGAGAGAATTTATTGCTAGCAGACCTGTTATTCTAACAAGAAAAACCAAGGAAAGTTCTTCAAGCCTAAATGACCCCAGAAAGTAATTTTATCTGAGTGAAGAGAAACAAAAGAACACAGATAAAGGTAAATATATAATTATAAAACATTATAACTGCATCATTTTCTCCTTTATTCTCTTACTATTTAAAAAGCAACTGTATGATTTAAAAAGCAACTGTATAAAACAACATATCTATCTATTTATCTATCTATCTATCTAATTGCATTGTTGGACCTAAATAGAAATGGAATATAGGAGGCAGATGGGAGCAGAGCTTTCTTGCAGTAAAAAAGTGACACCAGATGACAACTCAAATCCATAAAAGCAAATGGAGAGAACAAGAAATGGTAAATAAGAAGGTAAGATAACTATAAAGAAAAACATGTTTTCTTTTCCTACCGCAGCTTCTTTAAAAGACATAACATACAAAGTAATAATATAATAATGTATCACTGAGTTTCTATATAATAATAACAATAGCACTAAAAAAAGAAAGCAAAAATATAGTACTTAAAGAGGGAAGAATTATTTAGGAGTAATGTTTCTGTTTCACTGGAATCCAATTAGTATAAATCTTAAGTCAACTGTGATAACTTACCATGATTATTATAAGCCCAAAAGCAACTAGGAAGAAAAGAACTAAATCAGGCACAGTGGCACATGCCTGTAATCCCAGTGTCTCAGGAAGCTGAGGCAGGAGGACAGCAAATTCAAGTCCAGCCTCAGCAATTTAGCAAGATCTTGACTCAAAATAAAAAATAAAAAGGTTTGGGGATGGGACTCAGTGGAGAGCATTACAAAGCATGTGTGAGGAGGCACTGGGTTCAATCCTCATCACCACAAAAAATAAATAAAGATACTATGTCCATCTACAATTTTTTTTTGGCGGGGGGGGGGGGTACAGGGATTGAACTCAGGAGCATTCGACCACTGAGCCACATCCCCAGACCTATTTCGGATTTTATTTAGAGATAGGGTCTCAATGAGTTGCTTGGTGCCTCACTTGCTGAGGTTGGCTTTCAACTTGAGATCTGCCCGCCTCAGCCTCCCGGGCTGCTGGGATTACAGGCATGCATCACCATGCCTGGCCACTCTGTCATTTTAAATAAAGGGCTGGGGATGGAGCTTAGTAGTAAAGCATCCCTGGATTCAATCCTAAAAGGAAGGAAGAAAGGAAGATAGAAGTGACAAGCATCATTAAGGGGACCAAAATATGAAACTAGGAAATATTCACTTAATGCAAAAGGAAAAAAAAAAAAAGAAAAAGAAAACAAGCCAGGCGTGGTGATGTACACCTATAATCCCAGCAACTTGGGAGGCTGAGGTAGGAAGATCACAAAGATCAGCAACTTAGTGAAGCCCTAAACAATTTAGCAAGACCTGGTCATAAGATAAAAAATTAAAAGGAGCTGAGGATGTGACTCAGTGGTTAAGCACCCCTGTGCTCAAGCCCCAGTACCAAAAACTGAGAAAAGAAACCAAAAAGTAAAATGTATAGGCAAAAACAACTGTGTCGATGATACTAACATGTAAACAAATTAAATAATCTAAACAATAGTTGGAGATTATCAGATTAAGGAGACCCAACTCTGTGTTTACAGAGGACATACTTTAGTGTCAACGATACAGCAAGGCTGAAAGTAAAAAAAAAAAAAAATGGGAAATGATACCATGCAAACAACCATCATAAGAATTACACCGGCCTTCTCTTCAAAAACCTTGCAGACAAGAAGACAGCACTGTGAAATATCCCTTTGGATTAGAAACCACATTCAATCAGATATTTTGTTGGCCCAGGTACTTTGTCCTTTAGATATTCAGAAGTGAGTCAATTTAAAAATCAGAGAAAATAAGAACAAAGAAGTTACAATAGACTCCAAATTTTAATATACATAATAATTACCTAGGGATTCCCAGAATCCATCCGCAGAAAATTTGATTAAGCAAGTCTAGGTTAGGGTCTGGAACATCCATTTTGTTTTTGTTTTTGTTTGTGATAAATAGTTCACAAAATCTAGATGTGAGTGTCTATGGATGTAACAGTCCCTAAAACAACTATGAAAGGTTTAGAGATCTCAGTAATCAGACCTTTATAGGATCAAGTTGCTGTCAAAGAAATGCTCAGGAGTACATGTGTTTTTAGGCTAACTTTGGCCTATAAAATCTTACTAATAAAAAACATTTTTGGAAGGAATTTCTTCCAATTCAAAGGCTGCTGATCATCAAGATACCAAATAAGCCTCTGTCATCATAGATATGAGAAATGACTGCCAATACTTTAAGATTATACATCTGAGTTGTTTTAAGCCACCAGTTTGTGATGATTTATCACAAGAGTAATAAGAAACTAATGCATATACTTACAAATTACCTACCTAAAAAGAAACTAGATTTTTCTTACCTATATCCATAGGCCGTTCTGTATTTAAACTATCAGTGCTGCCCTGGTGTCCACCTAAAGATGCCTTTACTTGTTGATCTGATAACTTCCCAGTACTGACAGATCTAAAAAGAACAGTGATGCTATTAATGGGAAATTCACTTTTTTAAAAATAGAAGGGTTAATAGGACATTATAAAGCAAGGACACAAAAAAATCGATGCCAAACAATTCAAGGTAAACATAAACTTCCATAACAAAAAAGACAGGGGCCGGGGTTGTGGCTCAGTGGCAAAGCGCTCGCCTAGTGCATGCGAGGCCCTAGGTTCAATCCTCAACACCACATAAAAATAGATGAATGAAGCAAAGGTATTGTGTCCAACTATAAGTAATAAACAAATAAATAAAATAAAAGACAGAAATAAAATGTTCAAATTCAGGGAAAAGCTCTGTATTCACACAGTTATAGTAAGTTTTCGGACCTTCTGAAGTACACCATGTGCATTAACAATCATATAGCTTATGCTGGCTACTAATGTAGTCTGGTTGCTTTTATAACAAAAATGTACTTATTTTGCTATTTCAGTTTTCATTTTTAAGATTAGAGAAGAAACAATATCTTACCTGCCAAACACTGCTTTGTTCTGCTGTTCAAATCGATGCCTCTCACTTCCTTGTACCAAAAGGCAATGGGAACATTCCCGTGGGTCATTCCCATCTTTGGACTGCCCTTCAGCAGGCCCATGACGAGTAACCAAGGCTAACAGGTTGGAAGATGCTTGTGTTTTAGGGATTTTGAAAGGAGCTGTGGTCTAAACAAACATATGTAAACTAGTTAATATGATGTATAAATTTTGGCAGGCTTTTAAGTTAGTCAGACTGGATTCAAACATTGGCTCTTCCATTTACAGCCTGTGTGATCTTGAACAGTTCTTTAAGCTCTCTAAATCTCAATTTCCTTTTCTGAAGATTAATGAGATCATGCACATAAAGCATTCAACAAATATTTACACGGTGCCTGGTGCATAGTAAGTAAGTGCTCATTAAAATTATGGTTATCTTATATTCTTTCCATAAAGTACTAAAGCAGTTCATGATCTACAAAAAGATTTAAGGAACACACCTTAGTAGGAGAACCAATGATTGTTGGTAAAGGAGTTTTAAAGAACCAATCAGAACTCCGTGGAGAAGATCCCATATGCTTGGTGGGAGATGTTCCAAGGCTGCCAGGCCGACTGGGCTGAGGTGAGTAGTTATATCCAGCCCCTGTATGGGATGGGCACACAGGGTCAGAGTGCTGTTTTCTTAGCTTCTGTTTGTTCTGATAGATGTCAGTAAGGGTAGGGGCGCTCTGCAGTCTAGCACCCAATAAGAGAGACTGTGGTGACTGAGCCTGTGGCACTGGAGAACCTACCAAAAAAATGAATGAAAAGGTTAACCAATAGTGAAGTATACAGCAAAAACTTAGGAAACAAGAGGGCAAGTTTTAAAATGAGAATTCTGATGAATGTCTTATTCTTTTTAAAGTATTTTTAGTTGTAGATGGGACACAATAGTTTTGTTTATTTATTTTTATGTGGTGCTGAGGATCAAACCCAGTGCCTCACACGTACTAGGCAAGTGCTCTATCTCGGAAATACATGCCGGGCATGAGATGAAATATATTGATGATGAATATATGAGCTATTTTTGTCAAGAGCTAACAACTCAGATTAATGCAAGGTCTAAAGGGATTATGTAGTAAATAGTTAAAGTTAATGAAAACAACAAACGGCAACATTAAATTTCTGTTCTTGTTTTTTTTTGTTTGTTTTGTTTTGTTTTTTTGGTACTGGGGATTGAACTCAGAGGCACTCAACCTCTAAGCCACATCCCCAGCCCTATTTTGTATTTTCTTTAGAGACAGGGTCTCACTGAGTTGCTTAGTGCCTTGCTAAGTTGCTGAGAGTGGCTTTGAACTCGCAATCCTTCTGCCTCCTGAGCCTCTGGGATCACAGGCATATGCCACAGCACCTGGTTATTGGTTCTTTTTAGTTATCTATAATGATTCATTTTAACATAATTTTAAACACAGAATATAATTTGCTCTAATTCAGTCTCCAGTGCTTCCCTTTTCCTTCTTCTCCTTCCTTCCCTGTTTCCTTCCCTCTATTCTATTGATCTTTCTGCTATTATTATTTTTTTAATTAGTGTCTTGTGGATTCACATGAGATTCACTGTGGTATATTCATATACGTACATAGGAAAGTTAGGTCAGATTCATTCCACTGTCCTTCCCTTATTCCATCCCTCTCCCTCCCTCTCAATCCCCTTCCTAAACTCCATGATCTTCTGTTTTGATGGAATTCCCACCTCCCCCCATCTTTTAATTTTCCCCCTTTTTTTGGATTAACTTCCACATATCAGAAAAAAAAAATTCACCCTTTAATTTTCTGAATCTAGCTTATTTCATTTAGCATGATAGTCTCCAGTTTCATCTATTTACCAGCAAATGCCATAATAAAATTTCACTTTCTAAATTATCATCTGTAACAATGACCAAAATTTATCTAATTGTCTAATTCCTTTGACTATTTTCTTTATTTTTTTAATATATATGTTTTTATGGCTTTACTTTATTTATTTTTAATGTGGTGCTGAGGATCGAACCCTGTGCTAGGCAAGCGCTCAAGATTCTAAAAATCAGGGGCTGGGGTTGTGGCTCAGTGGTAGAGCGCTCGCCTAGCATGTGCGAGGCCCTGGGTTCGATCCTCAGCACCACATAAAAAAATAAAATAAAGGTATTATGTCCATCTACAACTAAAAAACATTTAAAAAAAAGATTCTAAAAATCAGGATAGCATTGGAAATATTTCTTACCAATGCTGTCCTTTTGATAAGGCTAGAAATACAAAATAAGTCCATTCATAATAAAATTCAAATTTCTAATATACCAAATGTATTTTCCTACCTGAAGAGTTTCTACTTCTGGATTCATGGCCCTGAGAATGTCCACAACAGCACTGACTAAACTGCTCAGGAATGGTACCAACTATGAAGTGAGACATGGAGAAAAGAAGAATAAATTATTCAAAAAACTAATTAAGAATGGAAACAGGCAATGCATGCAAAAATTGCTTGGTACATAATTTGCTAAAATTTAGTTGAACCAGTACTTACTGAATAACCAATATGCTAGGCAGTAGGTAAGCTAAGATAAAAAGTACCATATACATCCATCCTTGAAACAAAATCATTAGGAAAAAAGTCTAAATAAATAAATAAATGTCTATATAGACATGTAAGAGTTTATACAAAGTGCTTGGGGATTGTGGAGCTGCAGGACACAGATGACAGCCCAGCAGCTGTCCCTATGGATTCATGTTTGTCTGAAGCCAGGCTTCCCCCAGGGGTCAACAACTGATTCAGGCATGTTGAGAGTGGGTCATAGAATGCCTCTGACAGACCAGTGCTTAGGGCTATTCCCATAGTATGGTTAAAACTTTCTTAGACCTATGCTATAGTCTCAGACTTTTCTTGCCTTATTGTCTCCCTTATTACCCTCCTTTCCCAGGTGTCAGACCTGAATCTTGGTCTGAGGACCCTCCCTGGCTCCCTACTTCCCTCAGCCTCTTACATACCTAATACCTTCTTTGCATCCACCTTCCCAAAAACCCAAACTGACACAGAGGGAGAATCAGGGACAGTACCAGGGAATTTAAACAGACAAGAGACATATCTAAAACAAGAAGGAGCAATGTCCTGGTGATAAAGCAATAAGCAGAGATTAGATACTAAGGACCTTTTCACTGACATGCAAGGATAATCTTTGTCTTTGGAGACCCTGGAGTGCCAAGATTTTGTTTAAAGATTTTTCAGCTGAAATCACTGCAACAAGTGATAAGGCAATTTAAACATTACACACACACACACACACACACACACCACATCATCTTGGGGTTCCTGGGGGACTACCTACAACCCTGCTCTGTCTACTAAGATTTCAGCAGCTTTAACTATAGATGGGGCTCCTCTGTACCATCTGTTCTTCCCACTACCTCATGGTGTTTCTCACAGATACTGCCCTCAGTGGCTTTGTTCTCACTTACACATTTTCTGAGTTTGAGCATTTTGACTCTTACATTTCACTATTTGCTCTTTGGTTTTCGGCTTGGTAGGGTTTCTTTTGTTGCTTTGTTTAAGGTTCTGTTTCCAAAATCATTTTCTAGGCAAAATAGGGAGATATGTAACAAAGCTGCTACTATACTCCTATTAGAGCTGGAAGGTGTGTAGTGAATGTGACTCAGAGATGCAATGTTAATTCTCATGTGTCTGAGCAATAAGAAAGATAGGCATTTTATGCACTTTAATCTAGAGTTTCTAACATTGTATTTGGATGCCAAAGCCAATGAGGATGCTTTTGACATGTAAAATTAATTTATATTATTATATTTTCAACATCAATCCTAACAGATTTATGTAGAGATTCTCAAGGAGGAACTGGGAATAGGGTAGTGGAGGAGGGATGGCCTCAAATCAGCTCAGAATCACTGCCATGATGAATCAATGTCCCTAAAAATAATATTTCATACCAAATTTGTTACAGAGAAGATTAAAAAACAATTGCTTTAAACTCTCCTTACCCAAAGGGGAAGGTGAATAAGGCCTAGAAGACCCAATAGACAGTCTTCGTCCAACTGTCTGAGCTGTGTCTGCTGGTGCAGGGGAGCCAGATCCCAACCGGAGGAAGCCCATGGGACTGGTGTTAGACCTTCGTACCACAGCAGATCTAAAGAGAAAAAGAGAATTACTCCTTCTCTGGCAGGTTCTAGGATTTCTTCTTTATTTCTGTTTTTTTTTCCCCTCCCTGAAATTTTCTAACAATAAGCCACAAAGAAGAGCTTTTAAAAACAGGTAACAGTCACATGGAACAAATATAAAATATAAAATGATATAAGGTAAAGTCTACCTATCCCCACTGATAAATTCTAAATATTTTCCCAATCTACTGGAAAGGTTACCACTGTTTTTTATAGTGTATCTTTCCTGAGTTCCTTAATGTACACACAAGCACTTTCACCTTGTTTCAACACCAAAGGTGATATATTACATACCAATTATTTTCTTTTTTGGGTGGGGGGCAGTTACCAGAGATTGAACTCAAGGGCACTGGACCACTGAGCCATGTCCTCAGCCCTATTTTGTATTTTATTTAGAGACAGGGTCTCATTGATTTGCTTAGCACATCACTGCAGCTGAGGCTGGCTTTGAACTCACAATCTCCTGCCTCAGCCTCCCGAGGCACTGAGATTACAGGCGTGCGCCACCGTACCTGGCTACCAATTATTTTCAATCTTCTGGGTCTTAGGTCCAAAGATCCCAGAGCATTTTGTTTATGTAACCTTATGTACTGATCTTAATGTATTCAAAATAAAATTCAGAAATTTAAAATTTTATAAATTCACTAAAAATAATTAACATTACATTTAATATAATATTATGAAAATATGTATTTTTCCAAAACAAATTAACATGACATTATTATACATTTCTGCAAATCTCTAATATCTGGTTTAACAGAAGACATTTGGATTCTCACAACTGATTCTGCAGTCTGTTACACAATATGTCATTCTAAGGTAAGTTTTCCATGAAGAAGATCCAGCCTAACACACATATGTACAAAAAAAGGAAGGAGTATTTCAGTCTTTTCAAATCAATGATACTCTTCTTTTTGATACTAAACCAAACCTCAATAAGTGTTGGTTTTATCTAAAAGATTAGTTTGGTTGCAATGGGGAATCTGAAACTATCTCCTTGAACTCTTTCTTTTTTTAACAAGGGATTGAACCCAGGGGCACTTAACCACTGAGCCACATCTCTAGCCCTTCTTTATATTTTATTTAGAAACAGGGTCTTGCTGAGTTGCTTAGGGCCTAAGTTGTTGAGGCTGGCTTTGAACTTGTGATCCTCCTGCCTCAGCTTCCTGAGCTGCTGGGATTACAGGTGTTATGGGCCAAATTATATGTGCCTTGACCAGACAAAATCCATTTTACCCCAAGACTCCATTTAATAAAAGAAATGCTTCTCCTATGAGAAAACACTGCCTCTGCCACCTCCTGCTGAGCACACACATAACAATGTATGGCAGTTAAAAAAATTTTATGTATTATTAAGAAATGCATTTCTAAGATGTTCTTTTTTTGTTCCCATTTTTCTTGGGCAGTATACTATACCCCGAACTGGATCATTCAGACCTACTTCCTAGGCTGCTATGATGTTGACTTACTGGTAGCTTGTAGGTTTTGGCTATAAAGAAGATACCCTGCCTTGTGCAAGGGGTCAAGGGGAGCAAAGTCGACTTGGTCACTGTCCCTTGGCCTGCAAACGAATAAAGTCCCATGTCCTGCTTCAAGACTGACTCGGTGATTTATTTCAAACATACCACAACATTTAGTCAGGGTTATGGCTTCCAGGCACACAGGGATTTAGAGGCGCTCTCCTTTCTAGTTGTGGGATCTCTTGGTCTTCTGAGGGTCTAGGCTTTCTGTAGTGACCGATTTGAGCCTGCCCATGAGGGAGGATGTGCAACTGCATGTGTCTGGAGGTACCTCATCTGTTCTCTCCTTTTGATGTTTCGCAGGGTGTATGAGGAGATCCAGGGCTGTGACCCAGAGGGCCGATAAACAGACTGTGATCTTCATGGTCTGACATCTGGGTATTGGAGGAAAGAGTGTCTTATCCATGCTCTGTCTCTTACCTAAATCCAGAGAGCCAGTAAATAGACCATGGTGACAGTCTGGTGTCTGGGGATGGAAGACAGGATATTGGTCTGTTTGTACATGTCTGTCTCTGTTGGTCCACATCTGTTTCTTGTTTGTTCATGAATTTTTGCCTATTGTTTTAATTGTTAGCCTTGTCATGGGAAACCTAATCCAAACCTGGCCTGATTACCAACTGAGAAAAAAATGGTTAAAAAGCCCTAGCTCACTAAAGCTTACATTGGAAAGTGAACAACTGCTGACAGACTCAGCAGGGGACCAATCTGAAAACTTCTCCCTGGCTACAGCTCAGGGAGAAAAATGATTTCAGGGTTGTCTTTCTCTGTCACTCTCTTTCTCACTCTCTCATGCTAAAATAATTAACAGCCATATCATTTTGTCTAGGAAAAAACTCTCAGGCCTACATTTGGCTTTTGCCTCTTAGTCAACCCCAGATATTCACAGAAAACTCCAAAACCTTAAAGAATTTGCAGTCATGAATACCTCTCAACTATTAGAGGCAGCCCAAAGGTTTTTCAACAATCATGACAGCCCAGCTGATAAAGCTGCACAACACCAGGATAAAAATTTTGGTGGCTGCTGTCCAAGAGACCAGACAAACCAGTTTAGAATCAGATTTGATAGAGAGAAAGAAAGAGAGAGAGAGAGAGAGAGAGAGAGAGAGAGACAGACTTCTGGGCCCCTATGAGTCCACAAGCCCTCATTTCTTTTTTCGAACTCTTTTCACCTCTGATGAGCAAGACCACAGAGGACAGAGGCCTGGTAGGCTTTTAAAATTCTGTATTTTTTGAGCTCATAATTTTGATCCAGCATGCCTAGGTTAATGTGTTTTTCTGATCAGACCTATTTTATCCAACTATAGAGGTTCTTTTTTACATTCTGCTTCATTCAGAGGCCAGTTTTGTTTTTTTGTTTTTTTCAGATTTGGTATATCCATTGGACAGAATAGGCACAATGCCTAAATCCAACGGAAATGTTTTATTTTGAAATCCTACGAAAAATAAATAAATGCACTCTGTCATAAATCATATTCATCTTCATACTAGCCCAGTAGCAAAATGTAACGTTTAAGCTTCTTTGCACAGGAAGGAGCCCATGAAGAAAGAATAAAGTGTCTAAAACTTTCTAAAGTCACAGGCCAATTTACAAGGGTTAGCTCTCAATCTAATAGGTTGGTGTGAGTATACTATGCATACAACCAGAGATACGAAAAACTGAGCTCTATATAGGTAAAAATTGTAAGGCATTCCACTGTTATGTATAAATTTAAAAATTAATTAATTCAAAAAAATAAGCTACAAGGCCTTTGTTTGTTTTGTGTGTGTGTGTATGTGTGTGTATATATATTTTTATATATATATATATATATATATATATATATATATATATATATATATCAGTTAATTTTCATGTCTACATGTGTTTAGAAAATATAAAAGGGTTTTAAATTGCTTTGTGCCATCATTGGGAAAAAGGTAACGAAGAGTTAGAAGTCCCAACAGGTATAAACAAATAAAAGTCAAGATATCTTTAAAGTTACTAACTCACAGTTTGTATTTTTTTTTCTAGATGGTCAAACAACTGATAAATTGTTGATGTCTACAAAATGTCTAATATCCATTGTTTCTAGGATTTTTCTTCAATAAGGAAGAGATGGCTGATGCTGTTCAATACACTTGTCTGATATCTTGGTTTTTAAAAATAAGTAAATTAGATTTGACACACCTGAGATTAATCATAAATGTATTTGTTAAAAACATCTGATTAATTTACAAAGTTAAAATACTGTTACTCTTAACTCCTTAAATTCCATAGGGTAATATAATTAAATATTATTGGTATTTTCACAAACTGATAATAAAAAAATGTTCTAGGTATTAAAATATATTTAATAAAATATGGGAAAAAACACTTCTAGGTAAGAAAGTCTTTATGTGGTAAAAATAAAGTTGTAATACATCTACATAAACAAGAGAGTCTAATTAAGTGATAAAAAGGTCTGTATAAATAAAAGGCAAATTTCAAAAAAAAAAAAAGGTTTGTGTGTAACTAAGTTGATTATAAGTAACACAAATCAGTTAAAGCTCCAGGTTTTTCCCCAAGATCAAATATTAATGTACTAATATAAACCAAAGTTTAATCTGTTAAAATAACAAGAATTTCTTAAAACATTAATTTACTCCTAACATTGTGTCTGTTATATTTCATTCTCTAGAGCAACTAGTCTGAAAAAATTAGGGTTTGTACAACTCTGATTAAACAACAACTATTATTTTAGAGTATTATACATTACAAAGTCTAAATTTTCTTTAAAAGCTAAACTAGGTTAATAAAAAACATCAATGTAATTATGATGCTATTAATCTTCTTTACATATTAAATGTATTCATATCTTCCAGGTATACACGTCTTTAAAGTAAAAGGTTTAAAAGAGCATTTGGGAACATTTATAAAATGGTATCTAAGAAAGAGGCAAAGATCAGTGGTTGAGTGCTCACCTTGCACATATGAGGCACTAGGTTTAAACCTCAGCACCACATAAAAATGAAATAAAGATATTGTGTACACCTACAACTAAAAAATAAATATTTTTTTAAAAAGAGCATTTTATCAAGCTGGTGTTCTCCAAACTGAAGTAGTCTGTAATTGTAATTTTAGGCTTATAAAAATAAGAAGTTTAATTGGAGATTTATTTATATCATTTAATATTCTGTAATCAATGTTCTGTGATCAAGGGGATATAAAAAATTTAAAGGTATTTTCAAAAGACAATGAGAGATTGATCTGTTTAAAGGTTAAAAATGTAAAACAAAAATATTTTGCCACTTTTCCACACAAAAGAAAAACTTAAAAGCTCTCTCAGCCTTTGATTCATGTTTTAAATATAATGTTATATTGTGTTAACTAACATTTATATAGACTCAGGAAACAATATTATGTAAACTTTATAAAATGGATCTAAGAAAGAGGCAAAGATCAACTTCAGAACTAGAACGCTTCACCTAAGATTTGTGAAGAACCCCACCTTACCGGAGTAAAGGTTCTGCCTCCCACCTTACTACATGTTAGAATGGCTTCAAAATAGGCCAGGCTTCAGCTCATTTAAAGTTATATTCAAAAGATTGATATTTATTGTAAAAATTATTGTGATCTCAAACAGGGGATATAACATATAACCAGCCAAGGTTCAAGATTGTATACAAACTAAATATGCTTTTAGTCTTGTTAATTTCATTTTAAATTTTCCTTGCAAACTTTAACTGCTATCTGCTAATGCCTTATAATAACCTAAGTTAATATGAGATATTAGGCCATCATCTATACACAGTATATAATGTTAACTTCCAGTACTAATACAGACCCCAATTAAATAAAAGGGGTAAAAATGACTGTAAAGTTTTAAACATTAAATTTAAAGCCCAGTATTCATACATTAAGACTTGTAGGACTGGCTTGCTGGATGTTTAAGACCAAGGCTTAAAGATTAAGGTTAAAATAAAAAGGGCCAACAAAACCAATATTTGGTTCTTGCCCTCTGAGTCAGCTTGAATCCAGGGGACAAAGGAACTTTTCATCAACTCTGGGTCACATGAACCTCCCAATCAGGGAGATTACTAGGACCCCAAAAAAGAAAGCTAATCAGTGCCCATACAGCAAAAGAGGAGGATAACTGGAAAATGCAGACATCCCTGACGCTTCCAAGGGAAGCCACATGGTCAGCAAAACCTTGAGTTATCCTGGTGGATGGCACTAGCAGAACTAAAGGCTGCTCATAAGTTCCCCAGAGTGACCCACAAGGGAACAAGTAACCCCCAAGGAACAAGGTTAATTTGACCAGCTTCATCTTAAGCACCTAACAAAAAAACAGTTAAAACCAAAACACAGCCATTCCTGGACACTTATAAAACTACAGTTATCTTAATGTAACTTAGAATGTACACTTGGGTTAGCCCCCCCAAGAATAAATGAGACTGGAGGTGACAAAAGAGATTCTTAGGCAGGAGTGCCTGATAACTATCAAGAAAAACTGCCAGAGTCAGGAGTTTTTAGTCAGTTTAAGGCCTACAGATCTTCCCAACCTCCTACACAGATAGGCTTAATCAATGTTTGCTAGTATAATTATCTGGCCCTAAGTAACAAAGATAAGGGACCCCTATTAACCACACAGGTTGTGACAATAAAATATTTTATAAAAATCAGATGACATTAAGCAATTTAACCAAATGTTGTGTTTACTTTCCTGATAACTCTGGCAATGTTAAAGATTTACTTCCCAAATAAAGGCCATGTTAGGCTTTGTTAGGCCTTGTGATGGGAACAATTTCTCAGCTCTTCCACATCCTAAGGAAGAGATTATTGATTTCTATCATCTTTGTGATATTCATTGACATGTTCCAGATGCCCCAACATTTAATCTCATTTCAGTACTAATGTCTTTTTGTTTCTCTCTCATAGAAGCACCCACCCCTAGATGACTTTACAACCTGTTCTTCCCGAACCAGACTTTTAGCGTGGACCCCTTGACTGAACTGATTTCTAAAAGGGGACTCCAAACTGATTGCCCCACCCCACATCACCCCCCTCTCAGCTCAAAGCAGCAAGAGCAGTCATCGCCCTTTTCTCTACAGCATGAAAAATTCCCTAAAATTAGGAAAAGTAGACAAAAGAAAACAAAAATTAAAGAGTCAGTCAGTGTAGATATGTAATCAGATCAGATCACAAAAATAGAGGCCAGTTTGAGTCCAAAAATTTAGAAATTGCCTCTGGGGGATTAAAATGTTAATGCCTCCAGAGCCTTTCTTCCACACTCACCAAGATAACCTGCTCCTGTTGCTAAGTCTCTACAATAGGTTCAACTTAAAGCTCATAAATTCCTTTGAGAAAACCAGCCCCAAGAGACTACATATCTCCAACAACCATTCTAGCCAGAAGACTAGTCTACATCAAATGGTTCCAAAAAAGAAGAACTAACATCCAGCTGGAGGGGACCTTATTCAGTTACTACCCCGAAGGACTCATAGCATGGTTTCACACCTGAGTCAAGACAACAAAAATGTCTCCTGCAGAAGATGGACAGCCCTCTGAGACCCTAACCACCCTCTAAAGATAAAACTGAAAAAAAATGATAATCATGTTTTTCCTCTTATTCAGATTATGTTACAAGGCCCAAACTGCTAAAACAACATATTTTGTTAGTCAAGTAATATATATATATGTGTGGCCATTATAATCCCTTACATAATCAGAAGGTAAATCAAGGGTTTGATTTTTTTTCCAGAAAAGGGGAGAATGCTATGCCTTGACCAGACAAACTCCATTTTACCCTGAGACTCCATTTCATGTAAGAAATGCTTCTCCCATGAGAAAATCCCACCTCTGCCACCTCCTGCTGAGCACACCCTGTCTGACAATGCAGGGTGGTTAAAAAATGTTTCTGTTATTCTTATACAATGTATTATTAAGAAATGCATTTTGGGCTGGGGTTGTGGCTCAGTGACAAAACACTTGCCTCACACATGTGAGGCACTTGGATCCAAACCTCAACACTACATAAAAATAGACAAAATAAAGATATTGTGTCCATGTATAACTAAAATATATTTTTAAAAAGAAAGAAATGCATTTGTAAGATGTTCCTTTTTAATTCCCATTTTTCTTGGGCAGTGTACTGTACCCTGAACTGAATCATTCAGACCCACTTCCTAGGTTGCTATGTATTGAATTACTGGTAGCTTGAGGGTTTTGACTGTAAAAGAGATACCCTGCCTTCTGCAAAGGGTCAAGGCGGGCAAAGTCAACTTGGTCACTTGGCATACCAGTGAATAAAGTCCCATATCCTGATTCAGGACTGCCAGTGATTTATTTCAAATGTGCTACAACACAAGAATACGGGCCACCATACCCAACCTCCGTGAACTCTTGCACTGTTACATTAAACTTCATTGTTCTGCAAAGTATCTTTTACTCTGAATGAACCTTTTATCTGTTCAATGATTTTTTTAACATTCATCATTTGGATAATAATGGTTCATTTAATTATGCAGATATTCCAAATATTTAACGTATAATGTCAAAAAGTCACATTCATACCAAAATGTCACCATCAATGTTAACAGAAATGTCTGGCAAGACTCTTCTGATCACAAGATCTTCTGATCTTCAAGATCACAGGGGTTAATATAAGTTTTCCAAAATTCTACTTTTTACTTGAATGCTCCAATTTTATCATTGACATTTATTGTCACTTATGCCACTACATGGCATATGCCTGTAATCCCAGCAACTCAGGAAACTGAGGCAGGAGACTCACAAGTTGAGGCCAGCCTGGGTAATTTAAGACCCTGTCTCAAAGTGAAAAACAGAAAGGACTGGCATAGCTCTGTGGTAGGGTATCCCCAAGTTTAATCCCTAATATCACCAAAAATTTTAAAAAGACATTTATTGTCACTTGTTTTCTCCAAAGTAATAAAACTTAGTTTATGTTTACAAAACAACTGCTAGAAACATATCATAGTTTGTCAGTCATTCATTGAAGTAAAAAGAGTGCTCTATAAAAAAAAAAGTGATTATTTAGCTTACAATCATACCAGTGCTTTTCCTAAAACTACTGTAATAGCAAAAGTGCTTTATATGCACATTCTATTCAATGATTGTGGTTTTCAATGAGAATTAATTTAGTCCTTTAATAATTTGTCAAGGACATTCCTTTATAACACAAGTATGTGGTGGTAAAGAGCCTAAAGACTGACAGTACAGTTGAGTGTCATCACCCTGGTTCAAGTTAAGGCAACAGCAGTATTACTCATCTTTGTTTTCTGCATCATCAGTGCATGTATCATGCAGTGAAAAAAGGAAACAATGTCCTAGCACTATTATGAAAACACTGTTAACCTCATGGGTCACTGCTTGATATACTATAACCATTCTTTTTTTTTTTTCTTTTTCATTTTATACTATACTATAGTAATTTTTCTGCCTCAATACAGAGCTTCCTTACCCTTTTGGAACAGAAGATACATAGGAATCCATTGTCTTAGATGAATTATAGCAAATCAGTGAGCAGTTGGTGGGCAGTTGGCTTCTTTTTCATTCTTTGCTATCATAACAGTTAATAACTTTTTATATATACAATTTTATATTCATAGGCTATATATCTAGAATATGTAACTGACTAGGTACATGTATATGTACAATAAGTTACCAGAAGTTGAAGTGCTAATTCCTCCACTCTACTTGAGTTCTCTGAGATTCAGGTCTCTCTGGGGCTAGAGGCATAGTGATTCTCATTCTGTCAGAATCCTTGATTACATGCACATTTATGTCTGCCTGCTAAAGCAGGAACCCTTCCTCAGTCCTCTTCATTTCCAAAAAATTTACTGGAAACTGTCACCAATAAATATTTTTTTGCTTATTTTGCTTATTTTTGTGGACTCAGACTTTGTTATTCTTTTACTATCATCTCAATGGGGTCTCAAAATGGGAAATAAACAATATATAAATAATTTACTGCAATTTGGGATTTCATTTTTTAACAAGCTCTTTCTCAAATTCTCAAAAGTAATTATACCTGTGGGCAAATATATTTATATATTTGAAATTAACAGATTTTCAGTAAGAAAAATAAAAGGTTTTTAAAGAAACAAATTTTAAAAAAGGAATCCAGACACTGCCTTACCTTGGAGAACCATGCGGATTTGTGCCAGAGCTGGCAGTAGATGTTAGATTCTGTTCAATGCGTTGATAATTCCTTATTTGAGTAGGAACTGGAATTGGGGCTGTTTCACTGTGAGGTGACACAGTTGGTTGACACTGCCTGCCACCATAATTTATCAAAAAAGGAAAGAAGTATCAGAAAGACTGCTTTTCTTTCATTTGACCTGTCAGTGATAGAAAATTCTAGAAAAAGCCAAAATGATCACTTCTGTGTGTGAACAAGAAATAATCTTGTTAAAAATTTAAAAATCCAATACACATCCACACCAACATCCACACATATATACATCTTCATCTATAACTCTCTTGGCATTCATGTGCATATTAAGAACTAAGAATTCTATCACAAACCTGGGGAAAAATTCCCTTACAACAGGCAAAGTCAGCAAGATTTTCATCCACTCACAGTGTGCTTTTCATTAACATATGAAAGGAAAAAAATTCTATGAATAAGAATTCAAGAGCAGAGATGACTGGAATGTTTACAAGTCATGCATGGAGTAAACATTCTCAAGGAACTCTTCTTAAAGACTGAAAATATTGTATAACTCTCAAAACATAGAACTACCAGGAAGTCCACATTTTATAACTCTCAAAGCGTAGAGATGATCTGAGGTCTACATTTAACTGTCAGTTATTTGGTTTCTTTAATAGCTTCTTACTTTTCATAAATTCAGAAATAGTATGTCCTCAGACGACTTTCAACTTGTTTTACAACATATCCAGAAATATATTAAGGATAATACTGGGCCTTAAGAAAGATGATTTATTTCATTCTTCTATCCTACAATTCTAAAAAAGAGACATGCATCTCACTTTTTCTCAATTATAATTCAGACATAACGAGATTAAGCTGGGCACAGTAGTGCATGCCTATAATCCCAGCAATTCAAAAGGCTGAGGCAGGAGAATTGCAAGTTCAAGACCAGACTCAGGAACTCAGAAAAACCCTGTCTCAAATTTAAAAATAAAAATGACAGCCAAGTGTAGTTCCAAGTACCAACAAATTAAAAAATATATGTATATTAATATATATATATATATATATATATATATATATATATATATATACACACACACACACACACACACACACACACACACCCAATCACACAGCTGTCATTCAAACAAACAATATGGTTATTTTCTGAAGTATTACTTTAGAACTTTTTGAACCATTAAAAAGTATTTTATATTGAAATAACAATTTCATCTGTAGCACAGATGTTAGTTGTTTTTCAATATTTATTTACCCATTATTTCTTATTAACGGAACTCAGAATGTATTGATGTAATATGTATCTAGTTAAATGACATCATATCCCTAACTCCCTTATAGCCAAGGGTAGCCACGTGTTTCTTAGCCAATGAGATGCAAATGGAAGTATTTTGTGCATTATTCCTTCTTCCTGCCCAGAATGTAAGTATGCTTGCTGGAGCTTTAGCAGCTACCTTGGAACCACAAAGAAAAGGTCAAGAGAACTCAAGATATTCTCTTTCACAGAAACAAAGGCAACAACTATTGATCTTGGCTTTTTTATTTATTTTTTTTTAGTAATATACAACACCAGGATACACCCTGAAATTATCACAAAAGCATGGAACACGATTCACTCCAACTCAGTCCCCAGTACTTCTCACCCACATCTAGCTCCCCTCCCTCCACTCAATGGATCCCTCTTCAATCCATTTACATTTTTTTTTAATTATTGTCCTGTCAATACACCCTATGCTGGGACCCACTGTACACATCCACGCACATAAAAAAGTTCATCAGATTCATTCCACTGTACTTCACTTTTCTTTTCCCTTCTTTCTCCCTTTGCCTACTCTACTTATCTTTCCTCTATTTTGATGAAATTCTCTCTCCTTTTTTTTCTTAATTCCCATCCCCTCTTTTCATTTTGGATTAACTTCAACATATTATAGAAAACATTCAACCTTTCAAGTTTTGGGAACTGGCTTATTACACTTAAGGTCATGATGTCATTTTTCATTATGGGTAATATTCCATTGTGCATATACATCACATTTTCTTTATCCATTCATCTGTTGAAGGGCACCTAGGTTGGTTCCATAGCTTGGCTATTATGAATTGTGTGACTATAAACATTGATGTGGCTGCATCACTGTAATATACTAATTTCTAATCTTTTGGATATATATGGAGGAGTGGGATAGCTGGGTCATATGGTGGTTCCATTCCTAGTTTTTTGAAGATTCTCCATACTTCTGTCCAGGGTGGCTGTACTAATTTGCAGTCCCCACAAACAATGTATGAGTGTACCTTTTCCCCCACATTCTCAGCAATATTATTTGTAATTGCCATTCTGGCTGGAGTGAGATGAAATCTCAATGTAGTTTTGATTTGCATTTTCCTAACTGCTAGAAATGCTAAATATTTTTTCATATATTTCTTCTTTTGAGAATTATTTATTTTCCATTACGGGGAGTTACCGGGCATTGAACTCAGGGGCACTTAACCATTGAGCCACATCCCCAGCTCTATTTTGTATTTTATTTAGAGACAGGATCTCACTGAGTTGCTTAGTGCCTCACCATTGCTGAGGCTAGCTTTGAACTCACCATCCTCCTGTCTCAGCCTCCCAAACCACTGGGATTACAGGCATGTGCCACTGCACCTGGTTCTTTTCCATTTATTGATTGGGTTACTTGTTTTTTTGGTGTTGAGTTATTTGTACACTCTGGATATTAATGCCCTAATTGAGGAGCAGGTGGCAAAGATCTTCTCCCATTCTGTAGGGTCTCCCTTCACACTCGTTTCCTTTGCTGTGCAGAAGTGTTTTAATTTGATGCCATCCCACTTATTTTTTTTTTTTTAGAGAGAGAGAGAGAGAGAATTTTTTTAATATTTATTTTTTTTTTTAGTTTTCGGCGGGCACAACATCTTTGTTTGTATGTGGTGCTGAGGATCGAACCCGGGCCACATGCATGCCAGGTGAGCACGCTACCGCTTGAGCCACATCCCCAGCCGCCCACTTATTTTTTACTTTACTTCTTGCTCTTTGGTAGTCTTCTTCAGAAAGCTAGTTTCTTGGGGCTGGGGATGTGGCTCAAGTGGTAGCGCGCTCGCCTGGCATGCGTGCGGCCCGGGTTCGATCCTCAGCACCACATACAAACAAGGATGTGTCCGCCAAGAACTAAAAAATAAATATTAAAAAAAATTCTCTCTCTCTCTCTCTTTCTTTAAAAAAAAAAAGAAAAGAAAAGAAAAGAAAGCTAGTTCCTGTACCAACATGTTGGAGAGTTGGACCTACATTTTCTTCTAGCAGTTACGGGGTTTTTGGTATAATTCCTAGGTCTTTGCAGGGTGAGAGAGAGGAGTCAAATTTCATTATTCTACATATGGATTTCCAGTTTTCCTAGCACCATTTGTATAAAAGGCTACCTTTTCTCCAACATACATTTTTATGTGGATTTCTTTCCATGTTTTCTGCTCTATTTCATTGTTCTTCATGTGTATTTTCTTGTCAGTACCATGCTGTTTTTGTTTCTATAGTTTGTAGTATCGTTTAAGGTCCAGTATTGAGATGACTCCTGCTTTGCTTTTCCAAAGACTACTTTGCCTATTTTGGGTTTCTTATTTTTCCAAATGAATTTCAGAATTGTTTTTTCCAGTTCTGTGAAGAATATCATTGGAATCCAGACCAGGATTGCATTAAATCTGCATAGTGCTTTTGGTAGTCTGACCATTTTGACAATATTAATTCTGCCTCTCCAAGAACATGGGAGGTCTTTTCATCTATTAAGACCTTCTTCAATTTCTTTCTTTAGTGTTCTATAGTTTTCATTGTAGAGGCTCTTCACCTTTTTTTTTTTAATTGATTCCCCTTTTTTTTTGAGGCTACTGTGAATGGGATAGTTGTCCTAATTTCTTCTTCAGCAGATTCATCATTTAAGTATAGGAACACGATTGATTTATGAGTAATGATTTTGTACCCTACTACTTTCCTGAATACATTTATCAGTCTCATAAGTCTTCGGGTGAAGGTTTTTTTGGTTTTTGTTTTTTGTTTTTTGGGGGGCAGAGGTGTCTTCTAAATATATGATCATGTCATCAGCAAATAGAGATGATTTGAGTTCTTTTCCTATTTGTACCCCTTTAATTTCCTTCTCTTGCCTGATTGCTCTGGCTAGAGTTTCAAGGACTATGTTGAATGGGATTGGTGGAAATGGGCATCCCTGTCTTGTTCCTGTTTTTAAAGGAAAAGCTTTTAAGTTTTTCTCCATTCAGTACTATGTTGGCCTTGGGGTTTGTCTTATATAGACTTTACAAATGTTGAGGTAAATCCCTCTATCCCCAGTTTTTCTAGCGTTTTAAACATTAATAAGTGCTGTACTTTGTCAAATGCTTTTTCTGCATCTACTGAGATCATTATGTGATTCTTGACCTTGACGCTTTCATTTATTAATTTCTATATATTGAAGCAACCTTAGCATCCCTGAAATGAAACCCACTTGATCATGATGCACTGTTTTTAATGTCATCTTGTATGTGGATTGAAAATATTTTATTAAAAATTTTTGCATCTATGTTCATCCAGGCTATTGGTTTAAAATTTTCTTTCCTTGATGTGACTTTGTGTGGTTTTGGCATCAGGGTGATACTACTTCATAGAATGGGTTTGGCAGAGTTCCATTTTTTTCTATTTCATGGAATTATTTGAGGATTGGTATTAGTTCTTCTTTAAAGGTCTGGTAAAATTCAGCTGAGAATCCACCAATCTTGAGCTTTTCTTTGTTGGAAGGCTTTTGATAGGCCACTTCAATTTTGTTTTAGGGGACAGATGAGGCAAGACACCAAAGACAGCAAAAAACAGATTTATTTGGCTGCAGCCAAATTCAGAGGACAAAGCTCTCGCTGTAATCAATAGCCCTAAACCCCAAGTTCAGGGAATTTCAGAACTTTATACCCAGTGTGTAAGGGGAAGGGCTCAGAAGTTCACAATCTACAGAAGTTCACACAAAGGCAGCTTTTTCTTTCACCATTCTAGGCAAATTAACCCTTCAAGGACATTGCCTGAGAAGGGGAGAGCTTCTTCTCCCCTTTCTTCCCACCCCCTGCTAGCTGTTACTGTGTTACATCTCCTCTTTGAAATGTAAACATTTCTGTTAAGCTCGGAAAGGCTAGAGGCCTCATTAAAAGAAACTGTTTCCCTTATCATATTTTGCATTTGTAAACACACTCTACAAACTATTATATATAGTTCTATACTACTATATATAATAGTTTGAGATAGTTACTATACTAGATAGTCCATAAATGTTTGTGAAAAAAATAGTAAAGAGGTTTTCGTTTACTTCTAAGAATTTTTTTCTCCCCTGATTTCTCTGCTATCCATTCATCATCACTAAACGCTGTATTATTTAATCTCCAGGTATTAGAGTGGTTTCTATTTTTTATCTTATCATTGATTTCTAATTTCATTCCATTACAATCTGATAGAATGCAAGGTTATTATCTCTATTTTTTATATTTGAAAAGATTTATTTTGTGACCTAAAATATGATCTATTTTAGAAAATGTTCCATGTGGCCAGGCACAGTGAAGCACGCCTGTAATCCCAGCAGCTCAGGAGGCTGAGGCAGGTGGATCACGAGTTCAAAGACAGCCTCAGCAATTTAGCAAGGCCCTAAGCAATTCAGTAAGACCTGGTCTCTAAATAAAATATAAAAAAGGCTGGGAATGTGGCTTAATGGTTAAGTGCCCCAGGGTCTAATCCAGAGAGAGAGAGAGAGAGAGAGAGACAGAGAGAGAGAGAGAATGATCCATGTGCTGCTGAGAAAAAAGTAAATTCTGTGAGGGATGTAATATTCTGTAGATGTCTGTTCAGTCCATATTATTAATTGTATTTTTTGGTTCTGTAGAATCTTTGACTTCTCTTGATGTGAGCAAACTTCAGTGT